GCACTTCATTTGCAGGCTTTGGTGCAGGAGGAGAGTGAAATTATCCAACATTCTGTGAAGTCCAAAATGCACAAGCTATTCTGGGTTTTCTGGGCCACAACCTGGTGGGATAGGTTTGCCAGACAGCTGGCCTAGGGGCACTCTCTCCCACTACTGTTTCTTGGGTGCCAGACACTTCATACCCTCAACTATTTTTTCCTCACACTTTGTGAGGTAGATGCTAATCATCTCTCTGGGACAGATGAGGGAGCTGGGCAAGTGGCAAAGGTTGGATTTGAAGTGGATTCTGGAAGTATCTGAGATCAAGCTTTTTTTGAGAAAGAAAATGCTACTGCCAGTGGGGTCTGTTGATTTCCTCCACCTATTCTCCCATCTGGGAAAAAAAGGCCCATCTCCTCTGAGGGAAGAAGAAAAGGGAGCAGAAGCCACAGAACTGGAGAGCATGGCCAAGGCCAAGGACGGAAGCGTCAGAAAATGACAGACAGTGGGGATTGTGAGAAACGAGGGAGGAGCTCTCTGCTGACCCAGGCTCAGTCTTGGCGTGCAAGGCAACCCTTCGTTCCCCAACCCAGGCAGAACCAGCACATCCATTCATGGACTAGTGCATTCAGTAAGTAGATTATTGAGCACCTGTGGGTGCCAGAACAGACAAGGTCCCGTCCCTATGGGGCTTACAACCGTGGTTCACTTCCCACCTCAGCCCCTCAGTTGGTGGTAATATGATGCAGTGTAGATAGCACTGGCTAGAATCAGATAGCCTGTCCCACTACTTATATTTGTGTGATCCTGGGCAAATAACTTAGCCTATCTGTGCCTCAGCTTCCACCTCTGTAAAATGGGGATTATCATAATAATAGCTACCTCAGGATTGTGGGAGGGTTCTATGAGATAACATATGTAAAATATTTTGCTTAGTGCCCGACACAGAGTAACCACTTGAATATTAGCTACTATTGTTATTAAATACACAAATTATATGTAAGAACTATATGTGAGTACAGGGGACATACTTTGTTCTTGTCTGAGTTCCCAGTGTAACTGAGTACCTCCCTTCAAAATGCATTTAAAATGTCTTTTCCCTCTCTCTCTCTCTCTCTCCAAAATATGCTGGAGAGATTTCTCGACTCCCTTCCCTCCTCTCCACCACCCCCCAGACACTCCCTTGCATTGTGTTTATCTAATTATGCACTTGCTTAGAAACTCCAGGTGCTGGCCAGGCACAGTGTCTAACGCCTATAATCACAGCACTTTGGGAGGCCGAGGTGAGAGGGTTGCCTGAGCCCACGGGTTCAAGACCAGTCTGGGCAACTTGGCGAGACTCATCTCTACAGTAAATCAAAAAATTAGCCAGGCATGGTGGTGCGTGCCTGTAGTTCCAGCTACTTGGAAGGGTGAGGCGGAAGGATCTCCTGAGCCCAGCAGGTTGAGGCTGCAGTGGCCGGGAGCGTGCCACTGCCCTCCAACCTGGGTAACATAGTGAGACTCCAACTCAAAAAACAAAAACAAAAAAAGAAATTCCAGGTGCTAATCTTGAAGCTGACTGGATGGCAGTGGGATTCTCCCCAAACTGGAGGTTATCTCCAGGCTGTGGTTAATCTCCAACTCTGAGGTAGTACTTGTCGATGATTCAAGACTGCCATTGGAACAAACCATGTACAGCAGCACCCACTGCCACTCTCGCATGCTCCCTGGACCCAATTTTCCTTTTTGCACCCCTGCACACAGCCCCAGAGTTGAAGAGCCCTGTTGGAGACGTGAGCCTATTTCCCCACCTGCCGGCTTTTGGAATAAAGTCACTTTCCTTCCATGTCTCTCTTCTCCATTTTGGCTTTGGGCAGCGAGTGACAGAACTTGCTTTCGTTACACCAGCACCTAGAATAGTGCCTAGCACATAACAGGTGCTCAACAAGTGCTTAGTGAATTAATACATAGATGAAGCTTGGCTTACATTTAGAAATAGGATCAGCCAGGTCTTTTCATGTTAACCCAGATAAAACTGTGAGCTGGGAGCCCCAGGGCCCTGAGAACGGACCCTGTTCTTGGGGAGAGCTTGACATAGGAGTGGTTCAGAACAGGAGATGCTAGAATAAAAAATTCCTCAATGAATGAATGAATGCATGCATGAAGAAGCGAATGACTGTGAAGCACCCTGGAGGCGGGGTAAACGCGCCCTAGACAGGCAGTTGCACACACGGCTTTCCCAGAAGTGGGCACCAGAGGGCGCTGAGCTCGGCCGGTCTCAGCTTCTGAGCGCATTCAAGCTTGGGTCCTTAGGAAGACGCCGCGCCGTGACGTCATATCCGCCTGGGCGACACGTATGGCGGGGCGGGGCAGGGAGAAGCCAAACGAAAGCATGCCAGGAGTTTCCTTGGCCCAGGCTCTGGTCGCTATGTGGAGCCCCAAACCTCGACAGAGTCTTACAGCGAGCAAGACTTAGGGGAGATTGCAGGCGAGTTCGACGGAGAGCGGCTAGGTGGAAGCCCCTAGGCGCGCGGCTCTTCCTTTTCGGGAGCGGTTTCAGTCGGCCGTGCTGGTGTAGCCTGTCGCGCGCAGGGTGCGCATGCGCAAGGCGGAGCTGCGGAGCAGGCGGTGACGAGCGAACCGGGGCGCGTATCCGCTCTGGCCGACGACGTCGCGGGGCAGTGGCCGCACGCCTCCGTACCGTGCGGCGTGTGCTCTCGGTCGCGGCGGGTGGCTGCGAGGACTGAACGGGACCACGGGACCATGCGTTGAGCGTGCTGCACGCGCCAGACTCGAGGTGGGCGCCAAGCCATTGGCGGCTGTTAGTTGAAAAAAGTTGAGAACAGCACGGGTGCCCAACAAAAAGCCATTCCAAAAGTGCCCAGCTTTTTGAACGACTGTTTTAGCCCCAAAGTTTCCTGACGATCGCCCGCAGTGTTCGACTTGTTTTAGGTCCTGGGGAAGCAGTGAACAGGACCCCGTCTCGTGCAGTGGGCGTTCTGTTGGCGTGGGGAGGAGTACGGATAAGGAGTAAGGGGACTGCATCGTTATCTTAGAAGGTGGCAGATGCGAGGAGAAAAAGGAGCGGGGACAGGGTATCGTTCGGCATTAGCTGGGATGGGCACTAGGCCGCCTTGAGAGATGTTTGCGCAAAGCCAGGAAGGGGGCGAGGGTGTGGCCCTGCGGCTGCCTGGCGGAAAAGCGTTCCCGGCGTGTGGAAAAGCTGGCGCCGAGGCCCAGAGGCGGGAGTGAGACTGGTCTGTGTGGCGGAAGAAAGTGAGCAGAGGGAGTGACGGGACGTGAGGTCAGAGCCGCGCGGGGAGCAGTCATGCAGATCAGGTGGGGCCCTGCGCGCTGCGGTGAGGACTTTGGCCCCACTCTGGCTAGCAGAGGGCGGTGGCAAGGTTTTGAGCCGGGGGAATGCTGGCGCTTGGATAGATTTTAATAGGCTCGCTGGAGAGACAGATTGAGAAGGGGAATGGGGAATCAGAGACACTTACTACTGGTAGATCAGTTTGTGAGCATCTCCGCAGCCATTTAAAAAGGCTGTCAACGATGATGACGACGGTGACTACGTGAGCGCACGCGCTTTGTGGCGAGCCCGAGGGATATACCAGCTGTGGAGGGTTTCCCAGGCTGCATCGCCTCTTATCTCAGAACAGCCTGCAGAGGGCAGTGATGTCATTGATCCAGAGGACGCGGGGCCTGTGGCGAGGTGAATGTTGCATAAACATTTGCTTTGTAAGTCTAAAAACACACAATAAAATTTAGCATCTTAGCTATCTCTGAGTGGTATTACGTGTATTCATAGTGCTGCTTAGCCATCACCACTATTCATCTCTCTGAATGCTCCTTAAGTCTTAATTGTTGTTGCATCCTAAGCTCCAGGCCTGATGTCATCCCCCTACTTTAGGCAGCCAGCTCCATCAAGGCAGTCAGTAACACTAAAAAACACCTGTCATGTGCCAGGCAGCGAGTGAAACTCTGTTCTTCCTGCCCTTCTAGTCAGGGGAGACCCTAGTGATTGTGAAAGAAGCACCAGGTGACTGTTGCTGCTGTCCTGGAACCAAAGATGCTTTTGAATGTACAGCCTTGCTACTACTGCTATTCCCTCAGTCATATATTCAACAGACAATTGAATACCTACTTTGTGCCAAACACAGGAATAGTGTTTGTTGAGTGGATGGCTGGATGTAGCTCCTTGACCTTGACTTCTCCTTTTCTCCAGAGGTCATCATCTGGGAGTGGCTGAAACTGGGCCTGGCCTATCCAGGGGGACAGTGAAGTGGGAGTGGAGCCAAGGAGATGAATTCTCCCCAGGGAGATCAGCATGTTTTAAGTTCTTGAAAGTTCCATATCTGTTAGAAATGGCATTAAGTTCCCATTGCAGGAATTCTTCTCAAGCTACTTGCTGTTTAAGGTTAGTCTTCTACAGGACTGCCAAATAGTCCCACACAGACCTGACTTCTGGCCTAAGGGAACAGGCAGACCAGGAGAGAAGGGGACAGCAGAACTACCACCTTTCATTCTGTCCATGTTCTGTGTTGACGAAGAGTAAACAAGAAGCAGCCTCCAGATTTTGGATTTTCTTTTTGCTTTTATTTATTTCTCTGGATTAAGAGGCATCATAACAGAGTGGTGGTGGGGGCTCTGGAGTTATTGGAATCTCTGGGTACCCTTGGCCAGGTGTTACTAAGCCTCTGTAGCCTCTTCTCAAAAACAGGAATAATAATAGCCTATACCTCATGGGAGCATTTTAAATATAGAAGCTAAGGCATATGAAATGTTAGTTTAAGACTGAGTACTTGGTTAGGAAAAATGTTAGCTGGGATTATGTGTCAGGATTTAAGTAAGAGTAAGTGCCTTGGCATATAAAAATAGAGACTTTTGTATCTGTATGGGTAACCTTAGTTTGATCAGAATTTGATGAGTTACTGTACTAGGAAGTCTTCTAAAAACCAAAAGGGCCAAATTCCCATTAAAACTGTGAGAAATAGCTTGTACCTTGGTAATTTCTAGCTGTCTTGACTTAACTGTAGGTGTGATCAACATTGAAAATGATGCCTGCCCCAGCTGCCACATATGAAAGAATAGTTTACAAAAATCCTTCTGAGCACCACTACATGAAAGTCTGCCTGTAAGTTCAGTTTAAGTTCTGTTTCAGATTATTTTTCTAAAATGAATCTGAAAATAGCTTGAAATTTAATATGTATTTTTAAAAAAATTTTTATAGAGAATTTCAAGATCGTGGAGTTGGACTGAATGCTGCACAGTTCAAACAGCTGCTTATTTCAGCCCTAAAAGACCTGTTTGGGGAGGTATGGAATCACTTGGTAGATAAACATTATTTTATTTTTAAGTGAACGTGGGGGGGCTCTTACTGTGTTGCCCAGGCTGGTCTCAAACTCCTGGCCTCAAGCAGTCCTCCTACCTCAGCCTCTGAAAATGTTGGGATTATAGGCATGAGCTGCTACACCCAGCCAAACGTTGTTTTTGAAAACATTTTTTTAAGTGTATAGATCATGCATGCTTTATTTCTTTATTGTAATAAATACATTTATGTTCTTTTTTTTTTTTTCCCTTTCATTCCCTCCTCCCCTCTACTCTTCCCATCCACTGGCAATCACTATTCTACTCTGTCTTCATGAGATCCACCTTTTTATCTTCCACATGAGTAAGAACCATGCAATAGTTGTCATTCCGTGCTTGGCTTATTTCACTTAACATGATGTTCTCTAGTTCTGTTTATGTTGCTGCGAAATGACTTTATTTATTTATTTATTTTTGACTGAATAGTGTTCCATTGTAATATAGACTACATTTTTTTTTTTTTTTTGAGTTGGAGTCTCACTCTGTCGCCCAGACTGGAGTACAGTGGCTGCTCCCAGCCACCGCAGCCTCGACCTACTGGGCTCCAGTGATCCTTCTGCCTCAGCCTTCCAAGTAGCTGGAATTACAGGCGCGCGCTACCACATCCTCCTAATTTTTTGATTTTATTGTAGAGATGAGGTCTTGCCTGCCCAGGCAGGTCTCGAACTCGCGGGCTTGGGCAATCCACTCACCTCAGCCTCCCAAAGGTGTGGGATTACAGGCTGAGCCGCCAAGCCCAGCTTAGACCACATTTTTTAATCCATTCATCCATTCGTAGGGACTTAGATTGATTTCATTTTGGCTATTGTGAATAGTGCTGCAATAAACATGGGAGTGTAGATATCTTTTTGATATGTTCATTTCCTTTCCTTTGAATATATACCCAGTAGTAGAATTGCTAGATTATATAGTAGTTCTATTTTGACTTTTTTTAGGAAACTCTGTGCTGTCCTCCATATTGACTGTACTAATTTACATTTCCACCAGCAGTATATAAAGGTTCCTCGGGCCAGGCCCAGTGACTCAGCCTGTAATCCCAGCACTTTGGGAGGCCAAGGCTAGAGGATTGTCTGAGCCCAGGGGTTCAAGGCCAGCCTGGGCAACTTGGTGAGACCTCGTCTCTACAATAAATCACAAGAAAACTAGCCGGGCAAGGTGGCGTATGTCTGTAGTTCCAGCTACTTGGAAGTCTGAGGTGGAAGGATCGCCTAAGCCCAGCAGGTTGAAGCTGTGGTAGCTGTGAGTGTGCCGCTGCACTCCAGCCTGGGCGATAAGAGTAAGACTCCAACTCAAATAAATAAATAAATAAAGTTTCCCCCAAGCATTACTTTTTATCTCTTTACTATTATTATTTTTTATTTAAATAGAGACAAGGTCTCACTATGTTGCCTAGGCTGGACTTGAACGCCTAGCCTCAAACAATTCTCCCACCTCAGCCTCCCAAAGTGCTGGGATTACAGGCATGAGCCACTGTGAGACAGTGAGATTCTAACCAAGAAAGAAAGAAAGAAAGAAAGAACTCTCAAACTCAGTAAAAAAAAAAAATCCAATTAGAAAATGAGCAAAAAGCCGGGCTCGGTGGCTCAGCCTATAATCCCACGCCTTTGGGAGGCTGAGGTGAGTGGATTGCCTGAGCCTGTGGGTTCGAGACCTGCCTGGGCAGCGAGACCTCATCTCTACAATAAATCAAAAAATCAGCCAGGCATGGTAGCGCATGCCCGTAATTCCGGCTACTTGGAAGGCTGAGGCAGAAGTATCGCTGGAGCCCAGCAGGTCGAGGCTGCGGTGGCCGGGAGTGGCCACTGCACTCCAGTCTGGGTGACAGAGTGAGACTCCAACTCAAAAAAAAAGAAAAAGAAAATGAGCAAAAAGAGAAATAGATATTTCACTGAAATATCTATTGGCAAAGAAGCACGTGATGTTTAACACTAGCCATTAGGGACATGCACATTAATAACACAGTGAGATATCACTATGTACCTAGCCAAAATGACAGAACAAATAGTGGTAATACTAAATGCTGGCAAGGATGGGGAGAGACTGGATCACTCACCCACTGTAGGGGGTATGCAAAATGTGCAACCATCTGGAACATAGTTTAGCAGTGTATTAAAAAAAATTAAATATGCATCTGCCATACAACCCAGCATTAGCGCTCCTGGATATTTGTCCCAGAGAAATGAAAACTTGCATTCACACAAAAACTTATACACAAATATTAATAGCAACTTTATTTGTAATAAACAAAAATGAAAATTTCCCAGAGCCCATACAAGCATAGATATACACAGCAACTTAAATGAATCTCCAGATAATTATGCTGAGTGAAAAAAAGCCAATCCCAAAAGACTACATACTGGGTGATTCTGTTTATATAATGTTCTTGAAATATTGTAATTATATAATCTGGAGAAAGACTAGTGGTTACCAGGGGTTGGGGTAGAAGAGGAAAAGGCTATATAAGGGGGTAGAACAAGGGAGTCTTGAGAGGAGACACTTATCCTGATTGTGGTGGCAGTTACATGAAGCTGCCTACATGGTAAAATGACACAGAACCATATACACCCATGTACACATATATATGAGTATATGTGCAACTGGCAAAATGTGAATAAACTCTGGATTGTACCAATATCAGTTTCCTGGTTTTGCTTCTATACTGTAATTAGGCACGATGTTGATGTGAGAGGCTGGCTGAAGAATGCATGGAACCTCCCTGTATATTTTTTTTGCAGTCTCCTGTGAGTCTATAATTTGTAAATAAAGTTTTAAAACAGGCTGGGTGTGGTTTCTCACAACTATAATTGCAGCACTTTGGGAGGCCGAGGTGAGGGGATTGCCTGAGCCCACAGGTTCAAGACTAGACAGGGCAACTTCGTGGGACCTTATCTCTACAATAAATCAAAAAATTAGCCAGGTGTGGTGGTGTCTGCCTGTAGTTTCTGCTGCTTGGAAGGCTGAGGTGGAAGGATCACCTGAGCCCAGCAGGTTGAGGCTGTGTTGTCTGAGTGTGCCACTGCACTCCAGTCTGGGCAACGGAGTGAGACTGCAACTCAAAAGAAAAAAGTTTTAAAACATGTGTGCCCCTTCTATGTGTCGGGTATAAAAGCTAGCTTCTGGGGTTTATATAGAGTAAACAGAAAGACATGGTCTCTGCCTTATTGTCTAATGGTCTTGATTCTTGTAGTAGGAAAACATGCTAAACAGTTAGTGACAAGAATGATGAGAATTGTGAAAGAGGAAGTACAGTGTCCTGAACGAAAAAGAGTACAGCAAGCAGATTGAGTCTAATCTTGGGACTTAGGGAAGGAACAATTTAAATGAAGACTCAGCCAGGCGTGGTGGCTCATGCCTATAATCCTAGTACTTTAGGTGGAAATGAGAGGATTTCTTGAGCCCAAGGGTTTAAGACCAGCCTGGGTAAGTTGGTGAGACATCATCTCTACAATAAATCAAAAAATTAGCTGGGTATGGTGGCTCACAGCTGTGGTTCCAGCTTCTTGGAAGACTGAGGCGGAAGGATCACCTGAGCTCAGCATGTCGAGGCTGCAATGGCCGTGAACATGCTACACAAAGAGTAAGGAGGCGATGGCCACCTGAAGAGATGCAGAAAGAACATTCTAGGTTGGGGAACTGTAATAGGCAACTCAAAATGCCAGCACCATTAAATAAAATACTACTTTTGTGGAGGAGAAAAACTTGAGTTGACAGGATTTGTTATTAACATTCAGAAGTAACAGTGATAATAGTTTGCTAATAGCATTATTCCACACATAGGTTGATGCTGCCTTACCTTTGGATGTCCTAACCTATGAAGAGAAGACCTTGTCAGCCATCTTGAGAATATGTAGCAGGTATGACAGACAGTGCAACATTTCTAATGTAATAGAGCAGAGACTGATGGAGAAATAGAGTAAAAATGCTCTCCTAAGAATGAGAAGAATTTTGTCATTGTGAACACTGAGCAGGTTTTGGGAGATTAAACTGGGGTGAATGTGAGCATTCATCCACTAGGAACTTATGCTCTAGAGAAAGCTAAACTTGTGATTTGGTTAAAACTGTAGAGTTTCCCAGTTGATGGTTATGGTTGCAAAGTCAGAAATGTATGTTTTGGAAACACTCTTAGTTTAGGTTCATTTTATTCTTTCTTTCTACAGTGGTCTTGTCAAATTGTGGAGCTCTTTGACCCTATTAGGATCCTATAAAGGCAAAAAATGTGCTTTCAGAGTGATTCAGGTAAAGACTGTTCTTTCACATATTCCAAATAGGACTGAGTGGTGGATCAACTGCTTCTTAATATACATGACTCATTCTTGTGCTTGCATAAATGTAGTGTGGTTAACAACCTAGCTAAGGGGAAAAAGCCAGGACTTGTTTCTGAAAATGTGGATAGAGCACTTAGATTTTAGATTCTGTGGTAGATGTTTTAAGATAAAATGTGCAACTCTTGTGGAAAAGGTTTAATTTTCATTTAATGCTTAATGCCTGGTGTGTTATGTATTGGTATGCTCTTTCTGAACTCAGGATTCCTTGTTTATCGAAGGCTTCCTCCCAGGATGCTTGTTAAAAAAATGCATCAGCTTTGCTTATCTTGTAAAATGGGGTGTGTTTCTGCATTGCCCTATTTTTCAGTGTAATTTTCTACTAATATTGCCGTAACCTTTTTTTTTTTTTTTCTCTTGTAGGTTTCTCCATTTCTCCTTGCATTATCTGGTAATAGTAGGGAACTAGTATTGAATTGAATGAGTCGTCTTCAATTTCAAAAACACCACGAAGGCACCAAAAAATACTCCTGAGAGTGGAGGAATGTTTGAAGCCTGAAGCAAGCCAGAAGCTCCTATTGATGAATTTTGAAAGTGGTGAAGATGTTCCCAATAGTTTCCAGCCATCGCCTTTGGTTGGGTGGGCTTCAGAGGAGAGTCTGCCTGAACCAGCCAGTGCTGATCTGGCAGCACTTTGAGCATATGCACATCAGAGTTGGAGACCGGGCTGAACTTAGTAGGGTCTTCACGCAGAGGGATGTGGCTACCTTCTCAGAATTAACAGGGGATGTCAATCCTTTGCATTTAAATGAAGACTTTGCAAAACACACCAAATTTGGAAAGACAGTTGTACATGGAGTTTTGATCAATGGATTTATCTCAGCTCTCCTGGGTACTAAAATGCCTGGGCCAGGCTGCATATTACTTTCTCAGGAAATTAAGTTTCCAGCCCCTTTATATATTGGAGAAGTTGCTTTAGCTTCTGCAGAAGTGAAAAAACTGAAGCAATTTATTGCTATTATTTCAGTGTCATGTTCTGTGATAGAAAGTAAAAAGACTGTTATGGAAGGCTGGGTTAAAGTTATGGTTCCAGAAGCTCCCAAATCCTGAAATTTCAGGATTGTAAATTCAGATTCCTGTGCTGTTGTTATTGAAGAGTGTCCAGGGAAACAGGAATTGCTGCTTTTCACCAGAAATGGCTGATAGACTGAGAAGCCTGTATTTGGGGAGGGGAGGAGATAAAATGATGTTCAGATGTTCACTTTCCAGTTTGGCCTTGTGCTTCACATAGACTTGAATATATGCAGGATTTCATCATCCAGGTTTTTTTTAAATTAAAAAAGTACTAGAAGATTATTTATCTAAAGACTTTACTTTAGGATTTCAAATCTAAATAAATTTGCATTTGGACAACAAAAACCTACTTATATCTGTATAGAAGCGGTTTCTCACTGAAATTTTTTTTTTTGAGTTGGAGTCTCACTCTGTCGCCCAGACTGGAGTGCAGTGGCCGCTCCCAGCTACCACAGCCTCAACCTGCTGGGCTCCGACGATCCTTCTGCCTCAGCCTTTCAAGTAGCTGGAATTACAGGCATGCGCTACCATGCCCAGCTGATTTTTTGATTTATTGTAGAGATGAGGTCTCGCTGCCCAGGCAGGTCTCGAACCCGCGGGCTCAGGCAATCCACTCACCTCAGCTTCCCAAAGGCACGGGATTACAGGCTGAGCCACCGAGCCCGGCTTCTCACTGAATTTATAACTAGCATTTAATTATTGAAGGCAACAATAGAAGTTGGATCATCTTTGAACACCTACATTTACCAGTGAATATTCTTAGACCCTCTCCTTCAGCAACTTCTGGATCAGAGTTTATTGAAATTTTTCATTTATTTATTTTTGAGTGGGAGTCACTCCATTGCCCAGGCTGTAGGGCAGTGGCACACTCATGGTCACGGCCACCCCAGCATCAACCTGCTGGGCTCTGGGGATCCTTCCACCTCAACCTTCCAAGTAGACAGAACTATAGGCACACACCACCATACCCGGCTAATTTATTTTTTATTTTTTATTGTAGAGATGAGGTTTCGTCAAGCTGCCCAGGCTGATCTTGAACCAGGAGGCTCAGGCAATCCACCTACCTCAGTCTCCCGAAGTGCTAGGATTACAGGCTGAGCCACTGAGCCTGGCCAAAATTTGTTATTTTTTACACCAAGTCGGCATCTTGCTCAACCTTCAGTGGGACTTGCCTTTCAAGTGGGGTTCCCTGTTACTGGAAAAGGGCTTATGTGCAGACTTGGACTTAGTTGTATAAACTCTGTCTGGTCTCTCAGATGGTGATAACATGTACCATGCAGGATAGTTGCTGGAGATGATAGACACAGAGTTAAGCACAGGGCCTGGCCTGTTAATGGTACTTACTATTGTTGTGCACATCCCCTTGTGACTAAGGTTAGAGGTTTTCCTGAGTTTAAAGCTGACTGGCTAGTAAGTAGTTAAACAATCTTTGAGAGTGTCAACCAATCTCTATTAGTGTTCTTGAATAGAAAGTCTCTATGTTAAGAGTCCAGATTCTTTTTTCCCTCCCATGAAGATAGGAATCTGCCTCTCATTATATGAATAATATACAATTCGTTTCTACTTATTTATTTTATTTTTTTGAGTTGGAATCTCACTTTGCCGCCCAGGCTTGGAGGGCAGTGGCATGCTCCCAGCCACCACAGCCTCAACTGGCTGGGCTCAGGTGATCTTCCCACCTCAACTTTTCAAGTAGCTAGAATTGCTGGCATGCGACACCACACCCAACTAATATTTTTTTAATGTATTGTAGAGATGAGGTCTTGCCAAGTTGCCCAGGCTGGTCTTGAACCTGTGAACTTAGGCAGTCCTCTTACCTCCGCCTTCCAAAGTGCTAGGATTATAGGTGTGAGCCAGTGTCTGGCTATAGTTGTTTTTAAATTGTAAGAAATAAGCTGGGCATAGTGGCTCATGCCTGTAATCCCAGAACTTTGGGAGGTGGAGGCAAAAGGATTGCCTGAGCCCAGGAATTTGAGACCAACCTGGGCAACTTGGCAAGACTTCGTCTCTCTACAATAAATCAAAAAATTAGCCAGGTGTGGTGGTATACATCAGTAGTTCTAGCTACTTGGAAGGCTGAGGCGGAATGTTCACCTGAGCCCAGCAGGTTGAGGCTACAGTAGCTGTGAGTGTGGCACTCACTGCACTCTAACCTGAGCAACAGAGTGAGACTCCAACTCAAAAAAATATAATAATAAAAAATACAAGGAAGACCAAGGAGGCCAAGATCTTAAAAGTTGGGGAGATACTGAAGGAGAAATAGGCCTAATGTGTTAATCCTAAACAATCATCTCACACAGCCAATACTTTTCCCCTTCATCTTTTTTTTTTTTTGAGTTGGAGTCTCACTCTGTCACCCAGACTGGAATGCAGTGGCCGCTCCTGGCCACCGCAGCCTCGACCTGCTGGGCTCTGGCAATCCTTCTCCCTCAGCCTTCCGAGTAGCTGGAATTACAGGCATGTGCTACCACGCCCAGCTGATTTTTTTATTTATTGTAGAGATGAGGTCTCGCTGCCCAGGCGGGTCTTGAACCCGCGGGCTCAGGCAATCCACTCACCTCAGCCTCCCAAAGGCTCGGGATTACAGGCTGAGCCACCGAGCCCGGCTCCCTTCATCTTTTAATAACTTTATTGAGGTATAAGTCAGTCACATAACCATAAGATTCATCTTTTTAAAGTGTACCTAGTTGTACAACAATCATCAAATCAATTTTATAATGTTTTCATCACCCCCAGCAGAAATTATTGTTAGCAATCACCCTTCACTTCTCCCCATCTTCTCCAGTCCTAAGGAATCTTCAATCTACTTTTTGTCTTGATGGATTTTCCTGTTCTGGATATTTCCTATAAATAGGCTCATATGATATGTGGTCCTTTGTAACTGATTTCTTTCACATAGCATAATGTTTTCAGGGTTCATCCATACTACGCCATGAATCAATCCATAACTCCTTTTTATGGCTGAATAGTATTCCATTGCATGGATATAACATTGTATTTACCCATTCATCAGTTGATTGACATTTGGATTATTTCCACTCTTTGTTAGACATAATGCTATGGGCTTTTTTTATTTTTATTTTTGGAGTTGGAGTCTCACTCTGTCACCCAGACTGGAGTGCAGTGGCCGCACCCAGCCACCGCAGCCTCGACCTGCTGGGCTCCGGCGATCCTTCCGCCTCAGTCTTCCAAGTAGCTGGAACTACAGGCATGTGCTACCACGCCCGGCTAATTTTTTTGATTTATTGTGGAGATGAGGTCTCGCCAAGTTGCCCAGGCGGGTCTCGAACCTGAGGGCTCAGGCAATTCACTCACCTCAGCCTCCCAAAGCGCGGAATTACAGGCTGAGCCACTGAACCTGGCCTGCTATGGACTTTCTAGGAGAGGTTTTTATGTGGACACATGTTCATTTCTAGAAGTGAAATTGCTGGGTCATGTGATAACTTTATATTTCACATTTTAAGGATTTATCACATTGGGTTTTTTTGTTTTTTGTTTTTGAGTTGGAGTCTCACTCTGTCGCCCAGACTGGAGTGCAGTGGCCA